TGCAATGCTGGGCTCTGGTCAGGTTTGGATTAGAACTGGTACAGGCTAAAAGTCCAATATTGGCCCACAATCAATAAAGGTGGTGCAGGATTTAAGTCATTCGCTCATTATCTCCTCGGTTGTGATTGGATATGTATTTGATTTGGTTCTGCAGGTTTTTTTGTTAAATATAATTAATTTTGAAAAAAAATTATGGTATGATTAATTGTAGTGGGATTGAGTTTATATTAAAATAATATTTAAAATAAAATAGTTAAAGTTGATTTGATGTAAAAGTAATATAGAAATTATGTGAATTGATAGTTAGTTAAAATTGCTTTAGTGGATATGAAACAAAGTTGACAGATGTATAAGAATGGGTAATTAATATTATTTAATTATATAAATAGTAGAGGACAGTGAGGTCGACTTAAACTTAAGTTAAAATTGTGATTTTTATTTTTGAATTAGCATTTGAAGGGAACAAAATAAAAATTTCATATTTGCTCATAATAATTAAATGCTTACATTTTATTTTACTTTTTTAGAAATCAATTCTTATGAAAAATGAAGAAAGTGCTCTAAGAGAGAAAAAAAAAATAAAAAATAGATGAATTTCATCTTTATCTCTATATCACGTGAGAGATAAAACTGAAATTAAATTAGATTTTCGAAAAAAATTGTTCGAACAAGATAGAAGTAGCACGGGCACCAACAAACATCACTCAAACAAAAACATAAGTAAAAGTATGTTATTTTCGTTAAAATAAACTTGGAATTAATTTATTATCCAAAAAATAAAAATATAATCCAGCTGTATGGTGTACGAATGTGTTAGATGTGTTGTCGGAAAAAAAAAATCAAGTGAAACTGAGCTATTGGAAAAAAAAATCAAGTGAAACTGAGTTATTTTAAAAGTAGAACGGACATCAACAAACATTGCTCGAGCAAGATATAAGTAAATATATGTTATTTAAAATAAAATTGGAATTAATATATTATCCAAAAAAATAAAATAAAATTCATTTGTACGGTATATGAGTTAGATGTGTTGTCGAAAAAAAGAAAAAAGTGAAACTGAGCTATTTTGAAAGTAGAACGGACACCAACAAACATTATTCGAGCAAGATAGAAGTAAAAGTATGTTGTTTCCATTAAAATAAAACTAAAATTAATTTAGTATTTCAAAAAAAAAAAAATAATTTAATTGTTGGTACAAGAACGAGTTAGATGTGATGTCAAAAAAAAAAAGTGAAAACGAGCTATTTTGAATGTAGAACGGCCGCCAACAAACATTGCTCGAGCAAGATAGAAGTAAAAGTATGTTAGTTTCGTTAAAATAAAATTGAAAATAATTTAGTATAAAAAAATTAATTCAATTGTATGGTATAAGAACGAGTTAAATGTGTTGCAAAAAAAAAAAAGTAAAATCGACCTATTCTGAAACGGACGCCAACAAACATTGCTCGAAAAAGATAGAAGTAAAAGTATGTTATACCGTTAAAATAAAATTTAAAGTAATTCAGTATGCAATTTTTTTTTTTTTTTTCCATTTTATTGTATGATATAAGAATGAGTTAGACGTGCTGCCGAAAGAAAAAACAAGTGAAACAGAGCTATTTTGAAAGTTGATATTTATGTTTTACTCTATAAATATCTACATAAAAATTAGTTTCGAATATATTGATGTCCTTAAAAATAATTTTACAAGTTAACAACTAATTAAAAAAATAATAATTTTACCACATATTGTTTTACATATCGCCACACAATCAGTTGGCCAAAACAACTAACGCAATCAGATGGTGAAAACAACTAATACAATTCACGAACAACCAACAATTAACCGCTAATTACCAATCAAAGCCCATAACTTTAGCGCTTTAGAGTATAACAATTATTTTCCCATTCTTTAACTAAGCAATAGTGATTAATTAAATTAAGAAGTCTATCATTTTATATGATAAAAACTTATTTTTTTATTATTATTTTTGTATAATTTTTGTATATTCTTATATATTG